GCCCGGGGCCCCGGGGCTCCCAGGGAGCCTTTTAGTTTAAACTTCGGTATTTTGTTTACATTAAATACCGAATATTCTTACATTAAAATGACGCATAAAACACTTTTTATCTCGGTTAGTGAGTTTTCCGGCGCCCCGGCCCTTACATCTTGCTCCGGAGCCGCGTGGTGCGGAGACAAAGTCACCCAGCGAGAGCCGTGCAGGAGCCGGGCAGCAGCCCACGGGCGTGGTCTGGAGTGTTAGGGAGCCGGGAGGGACCGCGGGAGCAGGCACGCCTGGAGACAATGCCCCGGAGGAAAATCCGGGTGTGCCCCGCCCGCCCCCCATGTAAGTCCTGTCACCCCCACAGGTCTGCCTCTAGGGGCTTTCAGAGTGACCACAGGTCACTGCGGAAATAGGCGTCCATGGTGCCAATACACGCCGCCTGCAACGCTGGCCACAGGGCAAAACCGCCAGTGGGCCAGTATCAGGGACAGAGGGCAGACAAGCTCGTGCCCGCACTCCTACAACACCTGCCCGGAAATGCACGGATGTCGGGGAGAGAGAGGGGCAGAGGTCCAGGCTGAGAGGTAGCTGGGCCAAGGGGCCACTGCGGGACCCTGAGCGAGCCCCTCATCACTGAACGCCCCCGCCTCGCCTGGGAATGGGTCCTGACAGGGGTCTCTCAGGAGTGAGCAGGTGTCCAGAGGCCGGAATAGGGATGGGGGGGCCTTGGTGTCTACGGAACTCCGGTCCGCAGCCTTGCGCCCCCGCCATCTCCCTTGCTGTCGCCCTGGCGCTCCGTCTCCCCACCACACCGCGGGCATCTCTGGTTATAGGGCTGTGTCTGATTCACCTTGGAAATCTTACATGTACGGGGGCACAGCTCAAAAATGCGCATTAATGTGTTTTCCACAGGGATCCGTGATGGTGGGATGGCACACACCTCTGCATTTTGTATTAAGAACTCCTCTTGGGCCCCGCTGGCGTGGCTCGGTGGTTGAGCATAGACCACTTGCAACGCGATCCCCAGCAGGGGGCGTGCAGGAGGCAGCCGATCGATGATCCTCTCTCATCAGTGTTTCTATCTCTCCTCCCTCTCCCTTTAAAAAATCAATAAAAATATTTTTTTAAAAAAAACACAAAAACTCCTCTTGGGACACTGCTGGTGACGTGCTACAAGCCAAGGAGGGTAATGAACTCGGCTTTCTGCACCCGGCGTTCAACAGAAGGGGAAATCGCCACTCGCGTGCAACCCCCCCACCCCCCACCCCTGCTTTCCCCGCAGCTACTGGCTAAACGCGCGGTTATGAGCTTTTGTGAGCGGTTCTGACTGTCCCACTGTAAGGAACACGTGGCGACAGCGTACCCATTATGCACACGCCCCATGCAGGGTCCTGAAACAGCGCCTGCTCAGATGCAAGAGGCCCTTTCTTACTGCCTAGTCCCGTGGTCGGCAAACTGCAGCGCACAAGCCACATGCGGCTCTTTGGCCCCTTGAGTGTGGCTCTTCCACAAAATACCACGTGCAGGCGCGCACATACAGTGCGATTGAAACTTCGTGGCCCACGCGCAGAAGTCGGTTTTCGGCCTGGGCGAGTCTAATTTGAAGAAGCACTGTTGATACTTGGCTCTGTTGACTAATGAGTTTGCCGACCACTGGCCTAGTCCATTCTATTTGTAAGTCCGGCTGTGACTCACAGAACTGATTTCACAACCCGATGGCAGATGTCAGCCTGCAAGCGGACAATCATCGCTGTGCTGCGCTGCCCTGCCCTGCCCTGCCCATCACAATCCAGGGCAGGACGCCCCTGAGGCTCTTGGGGCGCCTGTACATCTGCCACTGGATCTGCCTCTGACTCCTGTCATTTTTGCCTCAGCAGTATTTCCTACACGTGTCCCACCCTCCTGCCTGCACCATCTCTCCCCTGGAATATTTCAATAAACACTACTAATTACAAAAGAGGCCACTGCTATGAGTGTTTTACACATCTTAACTCACATAACAATTTGAGGGTGTTGGTGCTATATCATTCCCATTTCACAGATGAGAAAACTGAGGCCCCCGAGAGGTTTAGTCACTTGCCCTAGGTCACACAGCTATCTGCCTCCAGCTCTAACTTGTCCCCCACCCCCACCATCTTTCTCTCTCCCATGCAACTAGAATGATATCCCTCAAACCCTGACCCGGAGCCTCTCCCGCTCAAGTCCCTGGAAAACTGCTCTCTCTCTCATCTTCAGAATCGGGTCCACGCAGTGGCCCTGGCGGTCTGGCCCCTGGGGAACCCTCCAGTCTCACCAACTCCCTCTCCCACCCACACCCCCTGCCGGGTCCTGGTGTGTCTCTCAGACCTCTGTGCCTTTGCCCAGGTGGCTACCCACGCCTCACCTCGCATGCCCTGCCCGCAAGGCCCCACTCTCCCGGCCCAGCTCTCTGTAGCTCCCACCCCATGCACTTGCTCGCCATGCTGCACCTCCCTCGTGACCGCGTCCAGTTCTGCATTCCTTGTTTCCTACCTGGGTCCCCACCTGCACTCCAGCCCCGGAGGTGGTGAGGGGGTCAGCCATCTCCCTGTCCTTAGGCCAGAGCTGGCTCCCGCATACAGGCACGGAGGCCGCAGAAATGAACCCCTGCCCAGAGCTCCAGGTCACCCCGCACCCTCAGCCCCCACCCCAGGGGTCCCCGCGGGAGCCTGTGAGGCAGGCAGGGCAGGGATCCCCTTTTACAGATGACCTCACCCAGGCCCCACAGGCTCTCCCGGCCCCCTCACACACTCTGTTTGCTCAACTGCAGCTCCGACCACATCCACACACAGGGGGACCCTGCTGGGAAAGAAACGGGCGCTGGAGGGAAGGCGGCCGTACCTGGCAGGCGAGCTCCCCCTGCAGCGCCTCCAGCTGCTCCTGGGCCCGGCGGGAGGCGCTCCTCTCCTGGCACACGCGGGCGCTCAGCTGGTCCACCTTCCGCAGGAGCTTCCGCTCCGACAGCTCCAGCTCCTGGATTCTGCAGCGGGAAGCAGGCGCTCAGTCCGATGCACACAGCAAACACGGCCGGAGGTTTCACACAGGCCGGACCCCCTTTCAGTTGTTATTTGGACAATTTCGTACTCGGACACAATTGCGTTTTGTAAAACATTCACGCGTATCTTTCTAGGGATGATCTACCATGCGTCAAAGACCTCTTTCGACTGAGAAGGCACCATGCATCGGGAATCTTAGTAGTGACCTCATCTCTAAGCCAGTAACCCCGAGTCTGGGCGACTCCGGTTAAGAACTGAGCCTGGAGAAATGATCTCACTCATTTGTGGAATATAACGAACACAAACGGATGAACAAAAATAGAGCCAGAGGGGGAAAATATTTTAGAATATAATAGAAGTAATCCTGTTATTTGCAGATTTCTAATATTTCCTGCAACTTTTGTGAGATCATACTATGTTAGTACAGTTTTGATAATATTACTACATTTAAGATCCTTTTTTCTTGAAATATTAATGTTTATTGCATGTAACATGATTATATTTAGGATCATTTTTCTTGAATAACTAGAGGCCCAGTGCATGAAATTTGTGCGCAGGTAGGGTCCCTAGGCCTGGCCAGTGATCAGGGCCAATCAGGTTTCCTGCCTCCCCGCCTCCTCCTTCCCTCGCTCCCTCAGCGCCCCACTGCCACCACCACTGGTCGCCTGCCATGTTCTGTGCCACCCTCTGGTGGTCAGCACACGTCATAGCAAGCGATCCAACTACCGGTCATATTAGCCTTTTATTATATAGGAGTGGTGTTTATTGCATGTAACATGATTATATTTAAGATCGTTTTTCTTGAAATAAAAAATAAAAAGAAAGAACTGAACCTGAAGCAAGCACCTGCATTGCCTCAGTGAGTCTTCACATCGCCAGCCCACAGTGGCTGCATGACCCCTTCCTCACACAGGAGGAAACTCAGACCAGAGAGGCCAGGCGGCCCGCCCAAGGTCACACAGCACTGCAGAGCCCAGGCTGCCCGACTCCCAAACTGACCCTCGCAACCCTCTGCCCCGTTGCCTCCCGTCTGCGCTGCATTCCTGTGACTCTCTTCTGTGGAAGCGATTAAACGCAGAAAGAAAAGTTTCTGCCATTAAAATAATTCCCCTGTGTTACCACAAAAGTAAGAAGTTGGAGGTGGCCTAACTGTCTGGCAGGGACGGCAAAGCCACGTGAAGGCGTTTTTGTTTTCAGGGGAAAGGCTAAGGTTGTGTCACATGCAACCTAATACCCGGCGTGGACGAGAGCGCTGACACAGCCACGTGAAAAGGAGAAGCGTGCGTGGGCGTGGGAAACCCGAAGCCGAAGTCTGGCTCCTGGTCCCACTGGGAGAGAAGGAACCTCCAAGACTTGCCTGCCACCTGCTGGCACCGAGCACCCGAGTCTCCTTCATGTGCTGATCTTACCTCATAACAGAAACCAGGGGACACGTGGCAAGTGTGTGCACAGCCTGCATGGTCTGCCCATCGTCCCTCCTGTACCAAGCCCACCCCGGTGACCCGCCCATCCGGGACAACGTGGCTTCCCGGGACGAGGGCCTAGCTTTGCCTGCTGGCTCTGCCGCTTACCAGCCCTAGAGCCTAAACTGGACTCATTCACCATTCTGACCCTCAGTCTCTTTATCTGTAAAAAACAGAGGCAATTGCACCTTGCTCAGTAGGTTGCTGTGAAGATGCAATAAATGATGCATTCTTATTAATAATAAGCCAAGAGTCCCCTCTCCTCCTCTAGCTCCGAGGCCCTGGGGTGAGCTTCGAAAGCGACAGAAGGGCATGTGGATTATAATCGCGTCCCTTCCAAACTGCACGAGAGGAGTGGCCCCAGGTTCATCAGGAGTGGCCCAGAGCTGTCCCAGGAGCCTCTGGTCTGTTATGACACGGGGTGGCATCTAACGGAACAAGAAAGGCCTCTCTTTAGACCCTGAGACCAACCTGAAACATTAATTAGGAGGCAGTGTTTCCTTCTGGTGCCATCCCTATCAGAAAACGACTGGTCTCGCCGTGGCAGGTGGAATAATGGCCCGCAGGTATACCTAGGCCCGGATCCCTGGGGCCCGTGAGTGTGGCCTTCAAATGCAAATGAGACTGCAGATGAGATTAAGTTCAAGAATTTGAGATCATCCTAGACTGTGTGGGTGGGCCCCAGTTGCAATCACGGGTCCTCCTAGGAGAGAGGCAGACGCTCAAACACAGAAGCTGCAGGCATGCGGGCTGCTAGGCTGGCAGCATTGCAGACGGAGGCCAGAGCGAGCACGGCAGCTGCGGCCGCTGGCCAGGCCAGGCCGGCCCCCGCAGCCTGTGGAGCGCACACTGGCCAGAGAGCAGGGCCCGCCTGCACCTGACCTGAGCCAGGGAGGCACGCAGGCCCTGCCTCCAGAAATGCAGGCTGCGAGGCCGCTGTTGGAGCCACTGGCTGGGGCCACAGGAAACTCACACCAAAGCACAGCTCTGCACCGATGAACGCCCAGTTAAACAGAGCAGAGTGCAGGGCGGGAAGGAGTGCTAGGAGCTGGGAGACGCACCCATGGGTGGGATAACGTGGTCCCCTCATGGCCACCACTCTGGCCAGGCTGCCTGGGTTCCAGTCCCAGCCCCGTGGCTGGCGCAGCCCACCCTCAGAGAACAGAGGACACAGCCCACATTTCCCCACCGACGGGCCCAGGATGCCCCGTCTAGGACAGCCTCACCCCAGCCACGGAGGCCACTCCTCTTCATTTCTCACAGTGCCCTGCTCTGTCCCTCCCTCACACGGAGGGGTCTCCTGTGGCCGGGGTGTCCCGCCCACCTTCCCCACGCCTGCTGACCTCCTGGTTTTCACTGTCGATCTTTCTGGAGGAAGATTCGAGTGGACAGCCCTGTGTGGGCCACGCTACTCCCCTCTCCAGGGCTGGGGCCCTGTCCTCCAGCTCCCAGCACCCAGGACTTATGGGATGAATGTGTCCCCCCAAGTTTGTACATTAAAGTCCTAACCCCAGTGCCTCAGGATATGGCTGTATTTGGAGGTGGGGTCTGTACAAAGGAATTAGGGAAAATGTGGTCGCTTGGGTGGGCCCTACTCTAATCTGCCTCGTGTCCTTATAAGAGAGATTAGGACCCAGGCACACACAGAGGACACAGGCACAAGACGGCCGTCCCTCAGCCAAGGAGAGAGGCTCAGAAGAAACTAATCCCCCCTCCTCGATCGTGGACTTCCAGCCTCAGAACTGTGAGAGGATAAATGCCCAATGTTTAAGCTTCTCCGCCTGTGACGCTTGGTTGTGGTTGCCACGGAAACTAATACAACTTAGTGCGTGGCCCTTGGGAAGTGGGTGCAGGTTGTAGAATCAGTGGGTGGGTGGATGGATGGGTGTATGATGGATGGATGGATGGATGATTGATGGATAGATGAATGGATGGATGGTAGGTGGATAGGTGGGTAGATGGATGGATGGATGGGTGGTGGGTAGATTGGTGGATGGATGGATG